GTGGCCTGACCCAAGCCATGGTATTTTCAATAATCTCATATACTTGTGAAAGTTGGACAAATGAATAAAGAGGACTGTAGAAGAATTGAGGCATTTGAGTTATTGTATTGGAGGAGAATATTAAAAGTACCATGGACTGCCAAAAGAACAAACAAATCTGTGTTGGAAGAAATACAGCCAGAATGTTCCTTAGAAGCCAGTATGTCCAGACTTCATCTCTCATACTTCATATATTGCTGACCTTCATCTCTCATACTTCATATATTGCTGACACAGTCCAGTGCTTATTGTATAAAACCAGCATACTAAAGTTTACTTACAATAAAATATCTCATTTGAGCAGCAAGATTCAAAAAACACTTATTTTTTATAAGTTTGTTTCTAGTTAGAACTCCATTTCACATTTAAATGCTACAGAGTTGTTTACAACTCCTAACAACCCTATACAGGATTTCTGAGAAGTGGCTGATGGCTTTGAACCACAAGAATACTTTCTATCAATATGTAAAATACTTAACTATTTGGTTACTATAAAAAAATAAAGGAATTAGATTTATTAAACCTTCGATTTACTGCAGAAATCAAATATGTTGGACCCATCAATTCTCTATTTTGTCTCTGGCACCCACTCAACCTATCCAATGTCACTTTTCAGATCTGTGAACATCTTGTCCAATGATATTTTACATAGAAACTTGCAGAAAGAGAAAGTGTAAAGACAAAATTTGGATGTTTGGGGGGGGGGGCAACTGACATAATAATGTGTAGTTAAAAAAAAAAACCAACAACACCATAAAGAAATATAATTTCTCCTATCACTTTCTTGTCGCTCACACATTTGGTCCACACACAACACATACTTCCAGAGATTTTGTTGCTTCTTCTGTGTTTTTGAAAGAAGAAAAAAGTCTCTGTGATCAATCTAGAAATGACTAGATTCTTTGCTAGTTCATAGGATCAGGAGCTGAACGGTGTGAGTGGTGGTATCAGGGTTTTGACATAGCAATGTCAAGAATGATCTTGAAGAGATTTAGAGCCCAAGTCATACCCCACTCTCTGTAGGCTCTTAAACTTTCATCACTATCATATAGTTGTGACTAAATCACAAAATTCCCCAAAGAAAGTCTTTAGAAATACTGATGTTGGCGATATAAAATGCACATTTATTTAGAACTCATTTTTTTGGTGAATGCTGCTCACTTTCTATCAACATCTGTATGTAAGTTATAAAAGTCGTCCACTTGCCAAGAGACATACTGTTGGGCACATACCTTGAGTGAAACTGGGGCTGAATTCTAGCCTCCTCATCACCTCAAACAAGAACTCTGTGCATAATCTGAACAACTAGACATGGGAATCCAATTTATACAGATTATTCTCTTTATTGTTTTACAAATTAAAAGACCAAATATTATATGCACATTGATTTATAGTCTTTGCAGAGCAGGACTATGCCAGATAAAGACTGTAAAGTTTTCTATTAGCAAATCCCAAATCCACTCAGTGCAAATCCAGGTGAGAATAAAGTAAGACTTGATAAAGATTCCTTATAATAAAGTTATCCAAGAGCAACCAATAGAAGCCACTCCCCTTTCTTACATCAACAAGACAGTGGACTACTTACCACTATCTTCAACTGTAAAATGGAACATATCACTTGTAGCATTAGCCCCTTCTCTTAAGACGTAGCATATTTTTGCATCATCGATGTCAGCTAGAAAATAACCAAAGGACATAATGATTAATTACTAGCACAAAGCTGATGACTTATTATTTATGGTCAATCTCATTCGTTTTTGCTTTTCTGTAACCACATTTAGGTTGTCTTTTCTTCTATGGGAAACAGTGCTATTTTATTTCTCAGATCTTTAGACCCCTTGATTTCAGCTGTCCCATGGAAATCTGATTCCTTTCACAAATAAATAAAATGTAGGAGCTAAGTTGTAATAATAGTAAGGCGTTGCCCTTCTTAATGGTATCTGCATGCTCATACACCAAAGAAGTGACTATCTATCTAAATGTAGAATAGCCACCATGACAGGTGGAAAGGAGATATTTTGAGACCTGGCAGATTTCCTGGCACACTTGAAATCACAACCTTCACCTCTTTGTAGGGCTGGCTTTCAGTAGAATGAGACTGTGCTCTCATTCTGGCTGACTTCTCTTACTTCTTGTGGTAAAATTGGCTATTTTTAGGTTCTCCAAAGTTTGAAAGAAAAAACTGATGAGATTAGAAAAAATTCCACAGATTAAAATACTATCATGACCCATTATCAGAAAAAATATAATAGAAAACATCTAATAAAAGCTGAAGCTTTTGTTTCTAGTAACAAAAGATTTGTACTACCCCAGAAATGCTTCTTATATTGCTTTATATTCTATTAGATGCATTCATTTGATTTTGGAATTTTATTAGTGTATTTATCCACATGACCAGTTCCTCTCTTGAATAATGCCACACAGATACTATAAAAAAACAAATATCCTTCTATCATAAATCAAATGTTCTGTTCTATGATAGTCATTAAACATAGACCATTATTTGATCTGGGTCAATCATATTTCCAAAGCTACAACAAAAATCAAGATCACAGCAAAAAATATTTTCAACCATGATGGTTGTAACATTTATTTGTCTAAAGGTGGTCTCTTCGTTTATTTCACCACCTAAGATATCTATTAAATTCATGCTGCGGAATTTTAAAGTTATATCTAAGAAAAAGATTTTATGAAAGAATATTTCAAAGTGATGTAATGTATTAGGCTCAATAAATTTCTTCATGAAAATCTAAAGCTCCATTTTATTGATATAAACCTTATGCTCTACTCTGGCTCATACCGTTTTGAGTGTTGATGTTGGTTATTTATCCGATTCCAAGTTGGTCCCCAATTTATGGTGACAGTATGTGTTACAGTAATAGTAAAACTTCTCCACAGGGTTTTCTACAATATTTACATAGTCTCTGGGGCACAAATGGTTAAGTACTCTACTACTAACCAAAAGGTTGGCACCTCAGAAGACAGGCCTGAAAATCTGCTTCTAAAAAGGTCATAGTCTTGAAATACGGAACACAGTTGTTAGCTAAAAAGCAGCAAATCTTTATAGAAGTGGTTCACCAAGAATTTCCCCTGTAGTACCACTGGCTTAAGCCAATTGCAAACTGCTTCCGCCATAGCTGCTGTTGTTGTTAAGTACCCTGGAAATGGCTCCAACCCTGTATTGAGTTTCTGAGGAGCAGATGGTGGGCTTGAACCACCAACCTTGTAGTTCAAACCGACTCCTTCAATAGAGGTACTGGAAGGTAAATTCTGAAATCTTTTGTTCTCCCTTAACACTTCATCCTTCCTCCTCTCAGATGTTTTTAGATGCTCAAGGAGCTCAGTGAAGTCCTCTGCACTGCTCTTTGACTGTCTGTTCCTACAAATTTCAACTTTTACAAGAGCAAGGTGAACTCTGGTCTGATTATATATCTTTAGCATAAAGACAACAAACTCTAGTCATGTGGAAAAGAGACATGCTTAATCCTCCCAAACCTTCTCCAATTTTAAAAGAAAAATTGAAAGGTTCTACTGTGAGAAAACAAAACAACAGGATAAAACTGACATTTTCATAAGCAAAAACTATTACTTAGGAGATATTGTTATTAAGTGAGATCGGGTTGGTTCTGACTTATCCAGTGCCTCAGATAGTTAAACTGAAATGAATCAGTGCTTTGATTTCTAAGAACGTATTTTTTGAAGTAAAGACAGTATAAATTCAATTATGTGACCCTGAAACCTCAGTTTTCCCTCTAAGTTAAGGCCAATAACGATGAGTTTGAACAAACCTCTAAAAATACCATAAACATAAATAAAAAGTATTGCTATAAAATCATAGAAACTTTATCAGATAAAAATATCTTAGTGTGAAGCTATTGTTTTTAAATATATCCTCCATCTAAGTCTATACACTTCTGTAGTTGGTGTTTCCATCTCTACACCCTTCCCCAAAGAAAGCTGCACTCTTTGATTTACAACATGTCAAAGTAATGGTTTTGGCTTTCTTGTGGGACTCAAATCATGTTGGTTTTCAATGTTCTTTGAGTTTGGGGAGCAAAAAGAAGACTAAAGGGGTAAGATTAGGTCTGTAGGGTGGATGGAGTAAAGCTTCCCAACACAGTTCTCATAGGACAGTCCTTGCTACTCTCAAAGAATAATAAGGTGCTTTGTTGTGATTGAAAAAAAATCCTTGATGCAACTTTTCTGTACTTTTTCTCACCAAAGCAGTTTCCAATTTTCTGAAAACTTCTTTGGAACAAATACCATGATTGCCCTGTGTCCTTGAGGAAATCTATCACAATGAACCCTTTGGGATCCTAAAAATTAGTCACCAGAACCTTCTGTGCAAATTCCTTTGCCTTAAATTGAACTGACCCAGCAGATGGCCTTGAAAGCCAGTTGTGATTGGACCTTTCATTGGACTCTTATGAAACTCAGACAAGTGTATTCCTGAAAGAACTGTCTGATGTTTAAACGTATTTTATTTGTAATAAACACATGCATGTAGGAAATGTACCCCTAACAGCAGTTTTTATTATTATTATTTGCCCTCATATATGTAAATATTCACTTACTTAAGGCACAGAGGACCTGGGAAGAGAAAATCCAAATAGGTAAAATGTTACCGTCCTTACGAAACCATGTAAGAATTAGTTAAATTCTCTTCATTATTAAACATGCATGTCCTGGGTTTGAGCTGTTATAATAAGCACTGAACTGCTAACCCCGGGTTCAGCGATTCAAACTCATCAGTTGCTCCTCAGAAACCCTATATAGTCACAACCAATTTGATGACACTTAACAACAACAACTTTACTTCCAGTATCTAAGCAATAATGGCTTGTTTTGATTCTAAATTAGTTAATAGTCCTAGTAACCACATTCTGATTCAAACTCTGAGGATATTTTTACTCTCCTGAAAGTAATTTATAAATTATCCCAAAGGAGATGTTGCTGTTGTTGTTAAGTGCCTTTGAGTCGGTTCCGACCCATAGTGACCCTGTACAGGGTTTCCGAGGTTGTAAATCTTTATGGGAGCAGAATGCCTCATCTTTCTCCCGCGGAGCTGCTGGTAGTTTCGAACTGCTGGCCTTAAGGTTCGCAGCCCGATACGTAACCACTATGCTATCAGAGCTCCCCCAAAGGGGATATCATCATGAAAAGAATCCAGGCACTTGACCCAAGTGACTTAGATCTGCGGTAGGGAGTGTCGGGACAATTTAGGGAACAAAGTTTGAAATAACAAAATAATTTCTACAATTTGTAAATTCTACCTTGATAACTTTTCTTGTAATGCATTTAAGTTTTAGAAATGAATTTTATTTTTTTCTAAGGACTATTTGGAGCCCTGGTGTGGTGCTATAGGAAAAGCTCGGACTGGTACGAGCAAGGATGATGGTTCAAATCCATCAGCTGCTCCTTGGAAATGCTATACAGAGTCGCTGTGAGTTGGCACTGACTCAATGACACTTAACAACAACAGCAACAATGACAATTTGGGAGTTCAAATAGCTGAGAACTTGACTATTAGACAAAAGACTGACAGTTCGAACCCACCGTCAAAAGACAGGCCTAAAGATCATAACCTTGAAATCCCTATGGTTCATAGAACTGTGTTCTGTGTTCTATGTTCTATATTCATAGTTCTATGTTCCATAGGGAGTCGCCCCATGAGTCAGCATCCTCTCAAAGGTTACTAACAATAACAGGGATAATTTAGGGGAATTGGTTGTTCAATGGTGGAAATCTTCTGTTTCATAAAGAAGACAAAATTTCAATTACTGACACCAACTTTGTGGCAGCTAACAACAGCAATAAAAAGTCCATTTATTCAATCAATTTGGAATCACATCTTCTAGCCACTTGTGTTAAATTGACTTTATTCTTTGAACAATCCATCACAATATTGTTTAGCTTATTCCGTCATGAAAACAGCACAAGCGCTGCTTTTGTTTCTCCCGTAGACAGCCATGGTAGCTAAACAATGGAGCCTTCTCCCTTTTTTCCCCATTCACTGAATATTCATATATAACCACTACAATCCAAACTCTAGCCTCAACTTGTTCAACCGAGGGAGGTGCAATGAAATATCACACGTGCCCTAAATAATATTTGCATCCTTACTGGTGCTTGAAAATTTGCTTTAAAAAGCTAATCTTAAAAGTGGATCTTTACTTTTAATAAAAAATATTTATGTATTAATCTGGTGTGGTGCTCTGGAATAATGCACTGAATCACAAGGTCGGGTTGAACTGCAAGATCAGTGGTTCAAATTCACCAGGCGTTCCTTAGAAACCCTACACAGGGTCACTATGAGTCTGAACTGACTCAACAGCACTTAACTACAATGATATTTACAAACAGACATAAATCATGATTACTCCAAGTCAGTAAGAAACAACTGCATATAATAAAACAGTATAACTTTCTAGTTTATTATCTAGGAAATAATATTCCAATATTTTGAGCTACAGGTTTGATCATATATAGTTTAAATTAAATAATTTGTCTATCTTCATCCAAAAATAACCACTTTGTAATGTGTAAAATCAATCTTTTTTTTAATGGCTGGTCAGAGAAGTGATTGGAAATAACATTTTCTATCCTCTAATATATTCCTTTTATCTGCTTCATTTTCCACTAAAGTAAACCAGTCTACGATTGCATAGCTTTCCCACCTTGGGAAGCCTGCGCGCGAAAGTCTCCTGGTCTCGCATGACACTTGGCACACTGAGGTTTTCCTGTTTCTGCAGGCCCTAGGATATATTCAGGCTTTCAGCCAAAAATCAGGAGGCTGGAGTGTGGGGCTATTTGCCAGCATTTAAAACAGAGAAGTAGTTCACTTTAGCACTACATTTGGAGACACTCTGTTTGTGAAAGCATTTGTTGTCTCAGATCACAACACTGTTCAGGAAAAGAACTCCCCCATGGGGATACCCTGGGGTTAAGCTCCATCTCTAACCACAGAGCCTTCAATAGGATAGATCTAGTTTCCACCATGTCAGCATGGTGAGGTTTTCATGAAAGGCCCAAGGCCCTTTGTAATCAAAGTCACAGGTTCTAGAGAACAGAGTCTTTACTCCCAAGCCAACAGACTGAATGGTTTTGTCCCTCGAAACTGAGTAAATCTGCAGAGGTCACCTGTACTTCCTGTCTCAGCCTGTGTTCACATACAAAGAAAATCCAGGTTAGGAAAAGCCTATAGTCTAATGAACACACACAGATATTAAGGTAAGAGGTGTTTTTTACTGTGACAAACAAAATGAGGTTTTAAATAATGAAACAATTTTTCTCTTTCAATGAGTAACTTTGTTAACATATCTCCAAGTTCTTAATAATGAAATGCATATATATTTTGGTGACCAGCATACTGCCATTTTATGCATTGCTAAGCGTACTCTCAGAGTCCTGGTGTGGCGCTGTGGGTTAATGCGTCAGACTGCAAAGTCGTTTGAACTGCAAGGTTGGTGGTTCAGGCTCACCAGATGCTCCTTGAAAACCCTATACAGGGTCTCTATGGGTCGGAATTGACTTGATGGCACTTAACAACAACAAGAAGCATACTCTCTGTGTTTGTGTATATAGTAGTATTGTTGCTGTTTCATGCCATCAAATTGGTTCCTACTCATAGCGACCCCATATAGGGTTTCCAAGGAGCAGCTGATGGGTTTGAACTGATGACTTTGTAGTTCAAACCAACTTTGCAGCCCAGTGCATTATCCTGCAAAGTAGCACATAGTAGTAATGACTCCTAAAAATGTCATTGTCATAACTCTAGACAAATATTTACCTTTTATGTCATTGGACAGGTATTAAATAATAAAATAACATAAGAGACTATACAAATATTGTTCATATATGAATATAAACAAACCTTGCTCTTGTAGCTACAGAATTGCTAACAACCGTAACAGTAATCAGAGCAGTGATGCTCTTAAAAATTCACCAAATTCAAGTACATTCGAAGGCTTTTTTTTACAAGTGGTAATTGATAATCATTACAAGAATGTTACATGGAGTCCTGGTGGGCACTGTAGGATAAACACTGGACTGCTAATCAAAAGCCTGGGTTGTTCAAACCCACCAGCCAAGCTTTGTAAACCCTATAAAAGGTAGCTGTGAGTTGGAACTGACCGAACCGCACTTAACAACAACAATACATAGTATTATTGAATACATAGTACCTTTTTCTCTAAGGGGCTAAAATGTTTTGGGAACTCTCTACAACATAAAACAGAGGCTGTTCAGAGGATAGGGGTGAAGAGTAGAACAAGGTTGGAGAGTCGGCCGAAGTACTTACTAATTCACCAAAGTTTACTTTAGAAGCATACCTTGCCACTATCAAAATACACTGATGCTCCCTCTAATGAATGTGGCTACAGTGGGACAAATGCCAAGAATGCAACTATTATCCCAAGAAAGTGAGTCCCTGAGTTTTTACCTTCTCCTTCCCTTCCTTTCCCTTCACAAGTTTCTTCCCCTTCCCTTCCCTTCCCTTGGACCTTAATTTGATGCTCTATTTCTGAAGTTGTCAATGACAGTCAGATCCTCAGGAAATAAGACCTGGAGTATAGTTTAGCTAAAAGAAAAAGCAGTAAATCATACCTTGTGTAAACTGAGTGACACTGTGGTTGCCTTGGCCCAGGTTGAAGAGATATCCATATTTAGGGGTCTCTGTCACAATAAACCTAAGAGAAGCATGTAAGCTGTCTCTGTCCTCCACTTTCAATACTTTGCTTGTGATCATGAACCCCAAACGGCCAATTTTCAGAGTGCGAAGTGTAGAGGCACCTTTATTCACTGCAATTTGGGGCACACTATTGTCAACAGCTAAGACCTGGATCCTCATAACTTGGGGTCTCCTGGTTTCCGATACTGCATCCGGAAAGACATAGAAGTCAGTATGAGTGCCATCGGTCACTGTGAAAGAGAAGCTATCTTCACTTGACTTGGTGCCATCATGTTTGTAACTGATTAAATTTTCATTCAAGTCTTGCTTCGTAAAAACCATGACATGTCTGGTATTGTTGAATAGGAGATGGCCATGAACAGGCACCTGAGTGACAGTAAATTTCAGCAGCTTGTCAGGAGTATCTCTGTCTTCAACAGTGAGTTCAAAGGGAGTGATCAGCTTGTTTTCACTTTCACTGACAACCAGGTTGTGGATGGTGACCACTGGCTTTTTGTTGTCCACATCACTGATGGAGATACGGAATGTCCGGAAGACAGGATTACGTCCATCAGTGACCTCAAACTCAAAACTGTCCATCTTCACCTCATCCTTGGCTGTGTGGATGTAGTAGATCTTGCTGCCAGCAAGTTGGAGTTGAGTGAAAGACAAGATAGACACCCCAGGCTGATCTGTGCACTCTAAGTGACCTTTCATGGGAGCTCTGGTGATGGTAAAAACAAGATTTTCATCAGGACTGTTCAAGTCACTTGTACTTAGTAGGTCTGTAGTAAGGGTCACTTTACCACCTTCCTTCAAAGACACTCCTTTACTTACCACATCAGGGAAAACAATATCAATGCTGCCAACAGATACATAAAAATAGCGATCGATGAGGGCATTGATTCCATCAGTCACATCAAATTTAATTAGGTCCCGGATGCCCTCTTGCCCAAAATGGGCATACTGAATTAAGTTTCTGTCCACTTCATCCTGGGTAAAGTTCATACCCAATGTTATATTTTCAAAGGCGCCTGTTGCTTTTTGTCTCTGTAAGAAGCCATGTCCTGGACCATAGCGAATAATATAAACTAAGGATTTATCTTCAGAATCCAAATCAGTGGCCATTAATACCTTGTTGCTAATAATTTTGGTTTGTCCAATTTCTATTTCTAGTCCATTATTTATGGTCATTCTGGGGGTCTCATCATCAACAGGGATAATCATAATGAGAACCATCTTTTCCACGGAATGCTTGCCATCTGTGAGTTTAATCACAAAACTGTCTTGCTGGGTTTCAGAATCATCATGTTCATAAATAATGCTGGAACTCTCTGTTATCTGGTCCAAAGTGAAACTTTCAACCAAAACCGTACCATTTATTAGCTGGTTCATGATGTGACCATGAATGGGAAACTGGGTAATAGTGAAAGTTAAATCATCTGGGGGTATGTCAGCATCAGCAGCATTGAGGATAGGGGTGTCAATTACCAGACTCATGCCTTCCATTACCATAAATTCTCTCATAAATATTTCAGGCTGTTCATCGTTGTTGGGAACGATAACAATGGGGAAAATGTGTCTATCTGAAAAGTTAATGCCATCAGAACAACGGAATATAAATCGATCTTCCACAGGCTCCACCCCTTTATGGATACTCTGGACATAGTTAATGTGACCTTGCCTGAGATCTTTCAGGGTAAATGCACTGATGGCAATTCCTGCTCTTGATTTTTCAGAACCTGGTGCTGGAGAAATGTTCTCAACATAACCTGAGGTAGGCTGAATAACTATGGTACACAAGATGTCATCGTTCAGGGAATCATTATCTTCAGCACGTATATATGTTGAGGTTATAACACCTTTTTCACCTTCCATAACTATAAACTGTTCACCCACAGAAATTTCTGGAGACTGGTTATCGACAGGGAGGATGGTCACCCACACAGTAACTCCTTGGATTGTATTACCACCTACTCTCCACTCTTGAGACGTTTTTGAGAGACTCAAGTTAAAAGAGTCGCCCTTGGGCAACAGGCCTATCTCACCACTAGTGTGAGCATAGACAACAGACCCCTCCAAGATGTCTCGTTGGGTAAATTGCTCTGCAGGCACTCCATTGACCCGGATTTCCCCATACAAGGGTGGACCTTTCAAGAGGAAAGTCAACATCAAATCATCAGTGCTCTCATCAGTTCCCTTGATAATACTGGCAGTGAGTTCAGTAGCTCCATTTTCCAAAACATCTAGATAAGTCCCCAGTGTGCCAGCAGGAAGGCTCAGCATGGACACCTCATCATCCACTGGCCGGACATTTACTCTAAGAGTGATGGGTACCACATGGTGTCCATCACTGACTTCTAAGGAGCAGCTATCAGTCAGAGACTCATATCCATGATGTGTGTAGGAAATCCGGCCCTGCTTAATGTCTTCCAAGTGGAAGATCCCACCCACATACAGTCTCTGTCCAGACACTTGCAAGTGGCCATCCTTGGGAGCCTGCGTGAGAGTGAAAGAGATGTGGGCCACATCAGTGTCCACATCAGTCGCATGCAACTCAGTGTCAGTCAGGATGTGGTGGCCCTTCTCCTGAATTGTGAAACCTGTGTTGAGGATCTCTGGTGGTTGATTGTCTACTGGCTGCAAGTAAAGGGTGAAGGTGCCTGGAGCCACATTTCCAGCTTGGTCCTCTACCTGGAACTGAAACTGGGCCACTCGGGCAGCCACTCCCAGTTCTTGCTCTGGAGGCCTGTAAGCAATTTTGTGGTGGTTGATCTGGGCTTGGGTAAAATGGGTCACTATAACTGAGGGATTGTCAGCCAGGACTAAGGTCCCCAGAGGGGCTGGCAAGTGGTTTTCATCAGTATCCATTGGTGGTTGGGTCACTGTGTAACGTAGTTCTCGGTCATCTGTGTCCATGTCAGTGTATCGCAGCCACTTCTTCCTCAGTGGTGTTAGCTGGGATTCCTGCACCACCATCCGTAGGGGACAGCCACTGCCCAGCTCTGGAGGGAGGTGATCCACGGGATGAATTCGTATCACAAATCTCTGTAGCCCAGACTTATTGGGGGGGTCATGGTTATCCTGGACTCTGAATATGATCTGATCAATGACTGGCCCAGGATTATGGGGCCCGGAGTGCCTATAGAACAACCTGCCCTCTAGTATGTCCCTCTGCTGCCACTCTGTCACTATGCGCTCATAGAATGTTCCCTGCTTCCTCCAAGGGCCCCTGATGAGCTCCTCCTGCTCATGAGGAGGATGAGTCTGACGGAGAAGCAGATGCCCTGTAGCCGAGTAGGGGGCCTCCAGCACAAAAAACAGCAGAGTGTCATCTGAGTCCATGTCTGTTGCACTCAGTGTGAGGGGCAAGATGGGCACAGTTTCACCCTCTGCCAATGTCAGCCCTGTGTTGGCATTGAGGACAGGTGACTGGTCATCCACAGGCACTAAGGTAATGGGGAACAGGAACTGCACCTGGTGCCTGCCTCCTCCGTCTACCATGCGAAGCACCAGGTTGTCACTTAGTGAGCCATCTTTGTCATCATGCTGGTAGACTACCTGACCAGCTGCTAGCTGGGCCACAGTGAAGGTCTTGGGGGCAGAGTTACCACTGGAGACACCCAAAAGGACAAGATGCCCATGCCGGAGCCCAGCAACCACCTCCAGCTGGACAGCCTCTAGATCATCCTCATCACTGATGACCAAGTTTTGTGGCCCACTCCCTGCAGGGCCTGTGAGGGGCTGAGACTTTCCCTCATAAAGAATGAGACCAGAGTTCCGGGTTACCACTGGAGCCAGTGTATTCATGGGCTTCACCACGACCATGAAGGCAAAAGGGTCTGAGGCTGCTCCTTCAGGATCCACTACCTCCAGCTCCAATTCAAAGAGACGCTCCTGGTCAGAGTCCTCGGAAGGAGGCTGGTAGGCGATCTTTAGGAGGTGCAGATCCCTCTGAGTGAAGGAGGAGAGGGGCAGGCTACGGTCATCAGTGCTCACAAAGTAGCCCTGGCCGGGCTGGAATGGAGAAGTGAGGTTGAAGACCAGCAGGTCTGGAGTAGACTCGGCATCCTCAGCTGCCAGCATGTCAGGGGTCAGGGCGGTCAGTACAAACTGATCTACCTCCATCATCATCATAGCCACAAAACTGGGCTTGGGGGTGGTGTTCTCGGCGCCTCCCCGAATCCTCACCAGCACCTGGAAGTGCTCACGTTTCAAAGCAGGACTGCCTACAGGGGTTCCCCGGGTGCGGAGCTCCACCACCATAGGCACCCAGTCTCTGTTTGGTGAGCGGCTGGTGGCTGTGTGGCGGTAACGCACTCCTAGCTCCTGAAAAGCCTTGCAGTCCATCAACAGAGGTTCCAGAGCAGCCCCTTGTCTAACTGCGCTTGGGACCTGCGGGTAGTGGAGGAGTTCCCCGTAGCGAGGCAGCGCGCTCAAGCCAGACAGGATGCCCACACGGCACTCCTCTGTCTCAGGGTGGTAGGAGAACTCCAGGCTCCGCGCGTCCAGGGCATTGCTGGTCCCCAGCAACTCCTCCACCACAAGGGGCAAGTTCCGAGTCACAACCTCCAGCTGGGTAAAGACCACTTCCACCTCCAACACCAGGGGTAGCACCACCGCCCCGCCCGGCGCGTCGTAGCGAAGTTGCAATCCGATGCGATCCCGCGAAGGGCTTCGGGCTCCCAGGTGAGAGTAGCGCACCTCTCCAGGGCCGAAGTCACACGGGAAACGTCGGGGACTCAGGCGACCGGGCCGCTGGGCCAGCGCGTCGTTGTCTAGCACGACCACAGCACAGCGATCCCCCGGCTGCACCTGCAACACCAGGTCATGCAGCGGATCCAGCCATACTTCACGGCCGAAGGGCACCCGGAGCCCGCGGTTCGCCAGCACTATGGCTTCCTCAGCGGGGACCCCCGTTGTCCCCGAGATACCTGGGGGCAGCAGTGACCGACTGGGGACAGCTGGCTGTCCCAGGACGCGGCTTACCAGTGACAGGAGCAACAGCAGCAATAGGAACAGCAGTTTGGGCAGCGGAGGAAGCACTGGCTGAAAGCTGGGGTTCTTTGCTGCACCGCGCGCACGCGAGGCTCTTCCGGAGATCCCGGCTGCATGCATAGTCTGGAGGTCGGGGCTCGAACAGATCCGCTTGAAAGTGTGCAAAGTCATTCCCCTGGTAGGGAGCAAGTCACCACGGAAAGTGCCAGGGTTTAGTAACTGTGGCTGGGTCAAAAGGATGGGAACGTTGGGGCCACCGGTTAGTATGACTCTGCTACTGCGGGCTCAATCGCGCTGCAACGGAGTCCCTCCAACTCCTCCTTCCCAGGTCCCCAGACCCGGAGCTTTGAGGGAAATCCCTCCTCTCGCACCCCCGGGCTCCAGCCCTATCAGGGGCCAATCGTTGGACCCGGGAGGAGGCCCGGAGTCGATGGTTGGGTAGCAATTTCTGCCAGTCAGCTTCTACAGCCAGAGTGGGCTGGGAGGAGAGGGAGGGCACAACAGGTTGTTCTACAAGCAAGTCGAGTCTGGGCTTGGGCTGCCCACCAGGGATTGCTCCCTGCTCGTTGCTGAATGGAGCTCCCCCTCAGGGGATTCCGAATTCGCCGCGGGGATGGTACCCTACTTTCAATGGTCGGCGAAAGAGAATTTAGGGTTCTAAGTCTCCCCTCACCAATTCAGTGGAGTCCCATGCAGAGGTGGTCATTTCTCATGGGGAAAGTGAGATTCAAGGCTGCTTGATTCTGAATCGAAACCCAGAGCAGTTTGCGGGCGACTATGAGACAAATTTGGAGTCCTGGTGTGGCGCTGCAGGGTAATGCACTGGATCATAAGGTCGGTTTGAATCGCAAGGTCGGAGGTTCAAACTCACTAGTCGCTCCTCAGGGTCACTATGAGTCGGAACCGACTTGACGGCACTTAATAATAACAATAATATGGGACATGTTTGCAAAAGTAAGGCAACTGGAACTAAAAGTTCGAACTAGAGTCGCACCCTCTCTAAGGGCCTCCAAGATTAACAGAGTAAAAGGGCATTGGAATGCGTGAGAAATGCAGTCTGGTCAGAATCGCGAGACTGGGTCTGAAGAATAAATTCAAGGAAATGTCGCCCCAGGCTGTGCCAAAGCCGCTCTGTTACTGTACTTGTCTTTAAAGATGTTCCTGTACTCCTCACGTTAATTAGACCAAGTACAAACTAAGTCTACTTGTCAGCATCACATTTCTTTGTATGCCAAGAGAGCTGATTAATAGCCGGAGGGCGAAAGAAAAGTAAGCTAGATCCTAGTTCAGTCGGTTTAAAGTCCGAGGTTAACTATTCCTTCCCCCATGTGTTTGTTGGGTTTCCTCAGTGTGTTGATTCCTTTTTTTTTTTTAAAAGGATTTCTATCCCATCCACCCACCTCACCCCCATTTTGGATTGATTCTGTAGGCAGGCTTGCTTATCCTGGCCAAATGTTTTATTCTGGGCAACGCTCTTTTCTCTCCAACAATATAATTAGTATTAGTAAGAGAAATACAGACTTGGAGTAACAGTCATGTTTCCCTTTTCCTTCTCAAAGATATTTTGAGTTTGGAAAAGAGAGAAACTGTTTGGAACTGTTCTGCTTGCTGTCTTGGGTTTCAGGCTAAATTGGAGATGTAAAATGAATGTGTGGGTTAATTTCAGAAAGAAGCATATATTCCTTTTAACCCTTTTGTACCTTTATTCTGAATTCCCCAGAGCCAGGATTTCCACCCCTCCACCACACCAACTCCTTATATAGTGTAGATGAGCCTTGTGGTTCTGTAGAATATGCAAGCACAAGCTCAATGGTTCGAGCCCACAGGCTGCTCAGTGGGAGAAAGATGAGAGCTCCCACAAAATTTTACAATGCTAGGAAAACCAGTACAAAGTCTCTATGAGTCGGAACCAACTCCACTGCACGTAACAACAACAGATGTGAAATGTCAAATTTTTCTTCATGCAGCCCACTGAACAGTGTCTTCCCTTGGAGTCAGAGATGAAAAATTCTGATTTTTTCCCAAAAAAGCCCAAGAAAGAATAGTCTAAAGGGAGTCTCTCACCCAAACAGAGAAACAAATAAACCTACAAAACATTTAGTTATGACAGTACTGAGTTTATTCTCTGTGGTCAAGTTTGTGTAAAGGACTTTTGAGGTTCACTTAAAGTTGATTGACATATTTCACCATTTAGTACAAAATGAACATTTGTGGATATTGGAGGGAATGTGTCCAGTATTTCAATCATCTGAGAAAATTCCTGTCCAGCTTCTAATGACTGTCCCAATCTTTTTAAGTCCAGTTACCAGGCATTCAAGCATATAACCTTCTCTACTTACTACTATTTACAATTCCTAATACTTGTAATTTACAGTGTGTAATTTGCTTATGTTCTCATTCTCAGATAGTTATTTGCTTCAAAAAAATCAGATTTATAAAGAAATTGATGATAAAAGGCAATAATAATGAAATCTAAAAAAAAAATTAAAGATGAGTTACCTGACTTACGTCAGAATGAAGTTTCTATGCAGTCACTGGAAGGGAACCCAGTAGTAAGTTCGGGAGCACCTGCATTTTGGAGTCCTGCTCTGGCGCTGTGGGTTAATTTACTGGATTGCAAACTGGTTTGAACTGAAAGGTTGGTGGTTCAAGCTCACCAGTTGCTCCTTGGAAACCCTGTATGGGTAGCTATGGATCGGAACAAATTCAACTGCACGTCACAACAACAGCCTGCATTTTATAATTTATTATGATTATTTATGATTGGATAAGAAATTCAGATTGCAAAGATAGGAATATTCTATTATTTCATGTTCACAAATAAATAGTATGATACCAAGTGAAATATAAATTCACTACCAGAATATGGTTCTTTATATGTTATATTTCAAATGCTTAAAAATCATGTTCTTTTTTACTATTTGGGTTGGTTCCATTTGATCCCCATTATACTTATCTATTTTAATGTGATAAAAACACACATAAACCACTTGCCAATTCAGCAAATTTTTACATGTGTAATTCAATGATGTTGGTTAGACGCATCATGTTGGGCCACCATTGTCACTATCCTTTTCTGAGTTACTCCGCCACCATTAACATAAATTCAGTGTCCCTAAACAGCATCTCTCCCTTTGCCTCTCCCTTCCAACCCTGGGAATCACTAATAAGCTTGGGTTTCTAGATATACATTTAGCTATTTTGTATCAGTTATGTGTTTGAAAAATTTTTAAATGTCAACTGGAAGCATTATGAGCTGGGTAAGTTTTTACAAGAATTCCACCAATAGCCTGGCCACCCCCGCTACCCTTCCCCCAATACTTCAGAATTTTCCTTTCCTCCTTTTAAAGTCCAACTCTGTTTGAATTGCAAGCAATGATAAGATCAGCCTTTGAGGTGAGGTAGCATGCCTGAGGGGCACAGTTCAGTGTTTTGTTTCACGGTAAGGAGAACACAGGTCAATAATTATTTTTTAGAAGTTTAAAGAAATCAATAGTTTGTGGCTTTTTTTTTTTTTTT